GTAGAACATTAAATTATTTTTGAAAGGTGTTTAAAATTATTTACCAAAAAAACATTTGTGTGTAAATCATAGAATCTCACATTATAATCATTTTGTAAATTAAAAAAAAGGCTTTAGAATTTAATTTAACATTAAATATGTCAAAGAAACATAAAACCTACAAACAGCAACAATTTGTGCACACTTTGAATAAGATCTAAACTCATTATTTACTTTTGTTTTTTTATACTGGATTCCATTGGTATGCTATAACTGCTGCATCAATCAGAGACGGGTCTGAGCCAGAGCTGACCTCTTGCAGTCAAAATGACCCGGAACAGATCTGTAACCCATCTGTGACCCCCCTGTCGTRTTCTCTTCATATTACAGTAACCGTCACCTGTTCTTCTTCATGATGTGCTCAAAAGGCCTGAGAAAGTCCTTCTGGAAGCGGAAGTTGGCCAGTTCTCCTTTCTCCAAGAACTTCATGGAAAGTTGCCTCAGCGAGTCCACAGCAAAGATGGCAACATCCTCGTTGGGGTTACAGCCCACCTGCACAAAGATCCAAGCTAAAATTAAACTATCAGATAAAACAAAGGCAACATTAAACCAGGAGCATCAGAAACACTGTAATGTGTGTGAAGGGCTCACTAGTAGGGGCTCTAGGGGTTCTCCCCCAGAAAATGTATGATTTAGTAGATTTAGTTTCCTGCATTCTGGTGTATTTTACAGGTTCCTAAACACACTTTTACCTACATAAAAAAACACTTGATTAAATAACTAAATTAGAGACAGATGATTCATTTAATTAGTTGCATCATCTTGTTTTTAAACTCACTGCTGTAGCCATGATAATGAAATTAATGTGACAATTTATCACAATGATTTTAGAGAATTATTTTATGTTTATATTGTTTATTCTTGATTTAGTTTTATTTGTAACAGAACATGTCATTGTGCCAAGCAATGATGAGCCTCAACTGCATGTTTAAAACTAAGAACATTAAAAACTTTACCCAGTAAACAGGTAAAATACTGATAACCACCAACAGCGAATTTAGGAGGCATTTCTTTGCCTGATTTAATGACAGGTCCACTCATAACAAACTGACATGACATCATGCAGCCTTCAAGAACATAAACTAACTCTGTGCCAAACATTGGTGACATAAAGAAATTAACTTTTGTCAGTTTTATTTTATGAAAAACTGATACACGGATGTTTGGAACTGGTTAGAACACTAATGATGGATGGACAGATTTATTTATTGACCTTTATTTAACCAGACAAATCCTAATTATTTATTTAAAAATTATAACAAATATCAAGACCGCAACAGAAAACAACTAGAGTTGTTTTTCCCCTCCCTTACAGATGATGGAAATCCATCCTGGCCACRTTCAAAGTGAAGGAAATCCGTCGTGGTGAAGGAGAACTTTATGCTCTGATCAAAGTCTTTTGGGGTCAAATCTGTTCATTGTTCTTCTAAATGCATRAAAATAAACTGAATTTTATGCATGTAATGCCTGTTTTTCTCATTTTATTCAGTATTTTTAATTAGAATCTTTTGAAGAAAAGAAATGTCAATATACTGCCTCGCTAAGTATCGAAATATATCGTGATATATCGTATCGTGATCTCTGTGTCGTGATACGYATGTCACCAACTTCTTGGCAATACACAGCCCTAAAAAACACAGTGACCAATGTATAACGGAACTGCAGTGAAACAAAACAATCTAGGTGATGCAATGAACCGAACAAGGTCCAGACCTCAACCTGACTGAACTGTTGTGAAAAGAGCCTAAAAATAATCAGCATGAATAAAAACCTGCAAACATCAATAATCTATACAAAGAAAAGTGGGTCAAGTCAATCATCACCCCTGTATGGTCAGAAACATCTTGTAAAGTAAAATGTCTGCATGTTTATAATTGCTACTGCTTCTTCTTTTTTTTTTTTTTGTTTCGACCAACTGACAGATCAGATCAGACCAAGCTCTTCCATTTAAACGACTTAACGAGTTAGAGCAGTGACTGGAAATAATGGCAGCCCCTCTCCATGTTGGGAATGCCTCGTGTCTCTGACCTTRTTGAAGTGGTCTCCTATGACCTGCCAAATCCGAGACCACTGCAGCCTGATGCGGTTCATGTTGTAGTAGGAGATTTCCACGATCTTCTGCAGGCTGAACATCCTGGGCTGGTGCGCCGAGGCCAGCTCGTCCATGGACACGGCGCACAGCCACCGGACAAAGTCCACTAGGAGGAAATAAAAACACGCCTGATGAAATCATTTCCTGTCTTTCAGACATGAACCTACTGTTGGATAAACTCACCAATAGCATTTCCATCTAGTCTGGTGGAGCCAGTGAAGATCCTGCAAACACACAGAGGAAGCTTTAACATTTGAAACAACAGAATATTTGTTGTGTCTGTTTTTAGGGACGTCCCACCTGTCCACAGCCACCACCACGCTCTGAGAGCTGGTCTCTCCTACAGACTCCTGAATGTGAGCCATCTGTCTCTTGTCCTGACTTCCAACCAGGTTTCCTGCAACAGCAAAAACAGAACTAAAGACACAGATACAAAATGTAATAAAGACTGTGTTGCATAAAGATTAAATTCTGAATCCATGTTTGGTTGTGAGAGTAACCTACCCAGACCCAGAGGCATGAACTCCTCAGTACCAGGAGGTAACCCCCTGATGTGGGCCTCCCTGTCCCGGACCACCCCTGAGATGTAGCGCGTCTTCACCCCAGTGCCAATCAGCTGGGCAAGTTCCAGCTGACTAATACATCTTAAGATCTACAAAAAAAATAAAATAAAATAAAAAACAGGCATAAATAAACACACCTGTTAATAAAACCCCAAATTTCTTAAATTCCACAAGACTGTAAAACAGGTTTTAACTGTTTTTGCACCTCGTGCCAGGAGTTTCCCAGGTAGTTCCCATCAGTGTGGGCCACGGTGATGAGGGTCTTAATGGTGTCGATGTTCTTCTGCTTCATCTCCGTGATGCTGGAACTGGCTGTCAGCAGCGTGAATCTGGCCAAGGCCTGAACATACGCATCTCTCTCCAACTGCAAACAGAAAGGCCGSTCACTAACCGATTTCAGATTGAAACTGAACAGCATCAAACTCCACCGAGAGGACCACAAACCACTGTGCTACGGTTCTTGTAACAGTGACCTTAGCCATCGTCCCCACATGGAAGGAGTATTTTTCGTCACTTTTCCCAAGCTAAGATGCTAGGCTAACAGCTGGATTCGAGCGATGGGACAAGCTGAATTTGACCAGAAAAAACTGCAACCAAGGTCTGCTCCAAACACTTTATCGGAGGCAAAAGACCAACATTGGACCACTCAGATCCCATCTCTGAAYAGGTACAGTAAACCTTGTTTTTACTGTAGCCGGCTGCTAGCTTTACACGTAGCATCTATGCTAGCCTCATACAGCGCTTCTGCAGGGGTTAGCTCAGTGACTGTTGGTCGCTGGTCCCACGCTGTTTTCACTCTCATTCCCTCCTTTGACTATAACCTGCAAACTTGTGCCATGTTATTTTTATTAATCATAGTTTTCATTAATTATTAGGTGGATTTGGGAGTTATCGGCACAAGCTAACGCTTTGGTTTTGTTTTAATTTTTTTTTTTTTTTTAAATGTTGCAACGCTCTGGACTCCATATATGATATACTGACAACAACATACTTGGGGGCTCGTCCGGGATTCTGAGTATTTAAAGCATTAGGTATAAAACAGCGTATAAAAGCGTCAGACCTGCATGCTGAAGATGCAGGCGATCCTGATGGCACATCGAATGCCTTCCARACACAGAGAGGCCACCTCTGGGTCGTCACAATCCTGCAAACCCACACTGAAGGCTGCCAGCAAAGGGGTCCACGCCAGCTGTAAAACAAAGAAACCATAATTRGATGTRCAATCCTAAACTGATGGGTTATTTTGAATAAACAGTTCAACAGTCCAGTTCAAACAAACTTCACAGCTGTTATATAGAGTCCAAAGCATTACCTTGAACATGGGCCTGACATGTTCCAGGTGTGTAGCGCTGAAGAACGGCGCCTGGGCGTGACTGACGGCCTCCATTAGAGCTTTGGCTGTCTTTGCCATYTGCTCCATCTCCACGTTGTACAGCAGGCGGCGCTGCTTCTCACTGGCCACACCTGCAGGAATAAAGGCACAAATGTTCCTGATGAAATAGCAAAATGAGATCRTGGAGCATTCCTTCTTTTAGGAATTAACTTTTGTAAAAATCATCAAAAGCAAGAACTCACTCTGCTTGTTGGAYTTTGGGGTGATGGAAAACTCTTTGCTTTCCTTCATGGCGATCTTCTTGCCGGCGATTTCGTCGTATATTGAAGAGAGATATTCCTCAGGCAGATCCTTGCTGTCGTTAATGCCACGGTTCATCTTGATGTACTGCTCCTTCGTCATTTTGTTCTTCACCTACAGAAGGAACAAAAAGCACAATACGGTTCTTTAAAAAGTAATTTTTTTGATTCGAAATCTTATTGGACTCAGAAAATTTTTATGTCATTAGAAGCAGCTTTTTTCTAACTCCAACTTCTGAATTGAAAGAACCTTAAAAAGGTAATTCATGTTTTTATCAGTTCTGGTATTGATTATTGTAATGCACTTTATGATGGAATAAAGGGTCCAGAATGCTGCTAGTGATTGTTGACCAACACTAGGAGGCACAGTCACATCACACCTGTCCTTRACTCCCTTCATTGGCTTCCAGTTCATTTGAGGGTTGACTTTAAACTTTAATGTTTGTTTTTAAAGCTGTTCACGGTATTGCAACTTCTTATTTGTGTGATTTTTTTTACAAGCACATCATCCAGTTGGAGCTCTTTGGTCTGCTGATTAACATMTATTGGAAGTCCCCAGATCAAAGTCCAAACAGTGGGGCGACCACTCATTTGCTGAAGACACATCTGTTTAGAACTGCTTTTAGCACAAGGTAGCATGCTGTTATTGTTATTTCTCTACCAATGTTGTTGTTTTTTWGTCTTTATTTTTATTACTGAACTCATGGAAAGCACTTTGGTTCAGTAGTCCCTGCTGTAAAGTGCTATATAAATAAAATTTGATTGACTTCCTGCAAGCACGGCCATATCTTCAGTGGCTAATGTTAAAAAACATAAATAAATCATACACGGCTTAGTTTGTGTAGGCTTCATATTTTAATTACTTACACATTTTTGAGTCCTTAAAGTACCTATGACATAAATTTATGTAATAAACATGAACACATTTAATGACAAATTCACTTTGCTGAGATGAACGGTTGTTGAGTTATTGACATGTAAAGTTATTGACATGTAAAGTAACAGGAAGTGATGTCAAAGGGGAATGTCTGCATGTAAACAGAGCACTGCTACAATAACAAAGACTGTAGAGAAGAATCTGATGTTTCTTTTGATTATTTTGAGTAAATATTAGAGAAAATGACGCAGAGTCAGAGTTCAAATAATATAGTTTTTATTAAAGATCAGAGTTCCCCTTTGATGTCACTTCCTGTTTACTTTGGMTGAGCCAAGATCAAAAGAAAATCTGCCAGTTATTCAACAAAATGGGTAAAATCGTGTACGTATAATAAGTTTGTAAAACATAAAGGTGTTTTCTTTGGACTTATGTATTTAAAGTACACGCATGTCACAGCAACTTTAAGATAGATGAATGTAAAAATGCATACAATTCTTAATACAGTTTCCAAAGTAAAGTTTAAAGAAATGGTTCTTACCTGAGGACTGTGCAGGTCTGTGGTGAGCATGATGATGGAGTATGCCAACACGTACGCAGTGTCTGCGCTGGCAAACAAGGTCTGCCTGCAAAAATAAACACGAACTTTAAAATAAAAAATACATCTTTTCAAACCGTGGTTCAGAGAACTACGATGGCTCTTACCCCTGGTTACACTCGAGGTACCGAGCAGCGAACTTCTCCATCAGCCTGTCGATCTTCTGCGCCTCCCCCGGCAGCCGGAAACCTTCCAGGAACGTCCTCAGGGCAGAAACAAAGTCTCGGCCACAGAAGTCCAGCTGGTCCACGTAGCAGTACATCACCTCTTTGTTGAACTTGTTGTTCTCTCCGAGGAACTCTCCGACCTGCGTCTGTCAGAGCAAACACACACAAACCACATTAACTACAGACATTTTAGGCAGCGTGCAGTTTGACTGCAGCAGGCCTCACTGTGTCCAGTCGGTCCTCCTGGTGTAAGAACTGAGCGATATCTTCGGCTGTGGATCCCAGCATGCCCTGGTCCTGCAGGTACTGTACACCACGCTTCGGCTTCTTGTTGAATCTGCGGGCAGAAAGACACGTTTATAATTATTTACTACAAACAAGAACAGAGCAGGAAATGTTCTCGGTGTTATATTTAATCATTATTAATGAGAGCTCACAGATCGATGCCCTGCTCGATGATCTCCTTCTGCTGCTTGATGACCTCATACTGCTCCGGGTGATCGGCCTGGGATGCAGGGACGCTGGAGTAGGAGGAGTCCAGCGAGCTGATGCTGTCTCGACGCCCTGACATCTGCTCCGGGAGCTTCAGCTCTCCACCCTCACAGTCCGACGGATGTTCCTGACCTGAAAACAAAACCCCATCACTACACATCCAGACCCTCACTCTCCACACGTCGCTGCAGTGCTCTTACCCAGGTTAGCCTGAAGGTTCGGATTCACGTACATGTCTTTGCTCCACTCCACCATGCATTTGAGAACGGACACCAGACACTCCAACCCTTTCTTACGTAAGCTCAGCTCCTGCAGGAATCAACACACAAATCCAAGTTCAGGCGTATATAACCTCAAACTCCAACATTTTAGTTAGAAACGCTCCAAACTATTCAGCAAAAGAGCAGCAAAATGCACCTGCAAAAGAGTCATCCCGAGCTCCTGACCGCTCCTGCCCTGAGCTATCTTAGACAAGTCGTTGACGAGACGCTCAAAAATATTTGCAGCATTTAAATCGCAGTCATAGTTTACGTAGATATCAACCACGCACTGAGCATCTGAGGGAAGAAACAGAAATTATAAATCAGAGGTGATTCTGAGATTTTAAAGCAGAACTTTGTAACGTGATTATCAGACTTTACAGTARCTAAAAACTAAAATTTGCAGAACTGTAGTTAAATAGTTGTTAAAACCAGTTTAAAGGATGTAGGATAAAACCATCGACAAATAGTTAAAATCAGCAMAACAGCAGCTAAATAAACAAATAAAAAAACTCATAGAAAGTAGGGCTGGGTTAAAAAATAAAACCGATTTAATCGATCTGGATCAATTTTCATTCAAATTTGGGAAAATCGATTCATAAGTCATGAGATCGATTTTACCCCCATGGATGTGTGTGATGAAGCTGCGTGCTTCCATGCTGTGTGTCACTCCTGGCTTGCCGTAGGTTTACATCCGGTTGGCGGTCAGTGCTAATGTGTTAGCTCCCGACAACAAGACGGGCAAAACAAAAGAAACAAAGGAATCACTAACATCACAGCTGATTCTCAGCTGAACTTAAAGATAACAGAGACCAACACAACTTTTGTTTGCAAAGATTTGCGCTCAGACGCAGCAGCAGGAAACGAAGCTTCGAGCRTCTCGAACCAAAACTACGGTATGTAAACATCTGACTGAAACTGTTCTCCTCCTGTATAAATGTGTGAAAGATGACAGTCTAACAAAATCGTTTAGTTTTGTTACCAATATTATTTATAAATTTAGGAAACATCTTAATGTAATTCACAGTGATGGAATGTTTTAGCAGAAATATTCTCTTTCTTTCTGTTAATAAGTTTAATTGAACAGAAGCTAACAGAAACATTACAAATATACAGTTTTCATACACTTAAAAGTGTGGGCAGAAGTATACACTTATATCCATCACTTCTTAACGATCAAGAAAATTCTTCTTAGTTTCTTAAAAAACTAATGTATCCAACAACACTTTCTCTTGCAGTTCCTTTTAGTTTAAACCTTTGAAACTTGAGACAGTTTTGTTTCAAGATTAAACTCCCAATTTACAAGTTTGCCCTTAATGTTTATAATATTACCAAAKAACCAGGTTAGAATTAGTTTATATTTGCAGAATTAGTTCCTTTGTGAATGTCTTCTATATCAAAGTAAATGTGTTACTGCATGATATCCTTAACTAATTTAAAAATCAATTAAACTGAWTCGTGAATCGAATCGATTTGGGAAATCTGAATCGATACCCAGCCCTAATAGAAAGGATAAAAAAATTAACTAAAAAAGATGTTTAATGTGGCTTCTGTTTATAAGAATCAGCCCTGAGGAAAACTGTTCAGTTATTCTTTTAATGATTGTTTTTTGCTCAACACTGCTTTGATAATAACTAAAACTAAAGCGCTAGCCTTACTTTTTTTTCATACTTTACCTGCACAGATGCGTGTTAATGTCTGAATGACCATCCACTTGTGTTCAAAAGAGCTGGTTGACGTCTCCAAAATGGTCAAAAATATCTCCCGGAAAAACACCTGAGGTWAGACGGGGCAAGGTGAAAATCAGATTCAGTACCAGACTGATGAAGTCTGTGTTAGTCTGCGTCGCCTACCTCAATCTGCATCTTCAGGTGGACTTTGAAGTGGGACAGGAGGGTGAGGAAGATGGCCAGCGAGAGCTCGAAGACCTCAGGCACGGAGGAGACGCCGTTTTTTGACAGCGCCACGCACAGATACTGCTTGATGGCGTTCACGAACATCTCGTGGGTGCGGAACACTGGCCCTGCGCCCTGCAGCACGGACAGCAGCAGCTGCAGGGAGATGACCTTTGACCTCAGCTCATGAGACCTGCAGAGGTGGGGGGGACTCTTTATTCCCAGGAGAAACGTTTTAAAGTGCCTGTGACGTCACATTTTTTAAATAAATATGAACGCGTTTTTTAAAAGACAACATTAATAACATGTTGCAAAAAATTTTTCAAGCAGGTGAGATGAATGGTTGTATTGAGATTTACATGTGCAGTAACAGGAAGTGATGTCAAAGGGGAATGTCTGCATGTGAACAGAGCTTTGTTACCACAGTTGAAAACACAGACTGTAGAGAAGAATCTGATGTTTCTTTAGATGTGAGATGAAGAGGAGTCAGAGTTAATATTGTTTTTAATAAAGACCAGGGAGTTATTTTTCCTAAAGGGTTCCCCTTTGATGTCACTTCCTGTTACATCTTTCCTGAGCCAACTTCAAAGGAAAATTTGCCTGTTTTGTTACAAAATGGGTAAAATTTTGTGTATGCACAAGTTTGTAAAAAAAACAAACAGATGTTTTGATAAAATTTTTGTATTTAAAATTTTTGTGCAGGAACTTTAATATAGCAAATAAATGTGAAAACGCGCAAAATTCACACTTCCTGTTTCGCTTTGGCTGACCATATTCAAAAAAGAATACATGCCAGTTATATAACAAAATGGGTAAATTGTGTGTATTATGTCAAGTTTCTTAAATACAAAAATGTTTTCTTTGACTTTTAGTATTTGAAGGATATGCAYGTCACAGGAACTTTAATATATGRACRGCTAAAACRGCAAAAMGTTTCTGGAAACAGTAAAAGAAAAAAAGAAATGAAACTAACAATTGAGTGAAATTGTAGTAATTCAGTGTTCATCTAATGAGGACCAGACTATCTCCTGTGTGACGTTCTTCCTGCTCATGTCACTCTGACCTATTTGCTGGGACTGGCCCCGGTGTCTCGTGTTACAGTAACCAGAGACGACAGTCACAGCTGGGCAAAAAGGACCAAGTTAACCTGCGGACAATCGCCAGGCTCTGTGCAGAGCGGGATACGCACTTTGGGTCTGGAGGTCCATCGGCGAGGGGCTTCATGGAGAGTTTGCACAAGGAGCGGAACACCAGAAAGGCATCTTTCTGCAGGATGTGAGAGAAGCGAGCTGCGCTGTGGGGTCCCTGCAGGGGGTCCGAATCCTGAGACAGATCAGGAAAGTCAAAATATAAACAAATTTAGACGACTGAGGGTACAAAAACAAAATATTCAGTTTGTTTCACTCTGATTTCTGGGCATGTTCTAATTTACTTCCATAAAATTAAGTTTTTATTGATTAAATTAGCTCGAAGCAYGAGGATGATGAGTGAAAAATGCTCCCACCAGGATGTCTGTGGAGGAAATAGACGTGCGGTCCTCGATGATGCCGTTCATCTGCTGAGACTCTGTTCGGACTCTGGGGGGGACCGCCTCGGTCTGCTCAGGAGCAGGAGGATCAGGATGTTCACCACCTGGAACAGAGGACTCAGGGTCAACATATTCAAGTCACGATACCTAAATAATTAAATAAAAATAMACAGCAACAAATGAACCTGTTTCATCGTTTGTTTCTGTAGGATGATGCTCTGCTTCCTGAACCTCAGGTTCTGTTGGGTTTGAGTTGGTCCCTGGTYTGTCCTCCTCTTGATCTGCTGCAGGAGGCATCTCAACACCTTCKTCTTCAAAAATGGAATCTGATGAAAGTAATTAAGAGTCTTAAGAAACTGTTGGATTCAATGTACGCTGCCATTAGAGCTCTAAAGCAGGGGTTCTTAACCGTTTTGACCCTTTTGGGGCCCAATTTGTTGAACATTAAGAGGCATGAGGCCCAGTCAGACATTACCAAATGATAATTATTCTAAATCTTGGTTTAATTTTTATTGTATTTACATTATAACTAAATTAAATACATTTACATTTTTAAAGTAAAACTGTCATAATCGCAAGACATGATTATGACAATTTTTACATTATAACCTGCCAATAACAATTTGAACAAAAACAAAGGTCAGTAAACAGACCACTCAGGCTTACCAACACACACACACACACACATATATA